TTACTATTGAAATAAACTTTAATAGGATATTGATCACTTCCATACAAACAACGGGATTATATCCCATGAAAAAGGACAATACAGGATCACATATTGACAGGTCGATAGTTGATGAGGTACCTGTATGAATATTGTATCGTGTTTATTGTCCATCATTCATCAAGTTTAGGTTTTCATAAGGTAATTATGTTGTCTAAAGGGGGGATAAAGGGGTAGAATGCTAAAACATGGAGTTAATTCCAGTTTACTCCAATTAGCCTCTTCTATTCAAATACGACTCTCACATTCACGCTGGTGTCCCCTATAAACCGAGCAACCCAACTGGAGATCCGGTATCCAACCCGGATGGAAAGTTGGGTCGGAAACTGACGAGAGCGGGTAAAATAGCCTTCCCAAAAAGGGGGTTTGGCGTTGGGTTAACTACACAACTCTATAAAAAACCTTTTGTTATGAGAGCTACCAAAAAAAGAAACCAGACTGTCTAAGCTACGACGAACTCGCAAACGAAATAAGAATAATGATTTAAAAATTTTCAGGTGGAACGTAAGAAGCTTTTATCCACCTGGAGCCACGGCTCTGCTTATACAAGAAATGAATAAAGCCAAAGCAGATATCATGGCTTTACAGGAAATGAGGTAGACTAGCTCAGGCATGCTGGAAAAAAATAACTGCAATATTTACTACATCCTACCCGACACGAATTTGGTACCGGATTTATTGTAAGCAGCAAGGTCAAACATAGTGTAATCGATTTCAAAGTTATTGACCATAGGATATGTCGAATCGGACATAAAGGGAAGTTCGCTAATATTAGCATTATTAGCATCCACGCTCCAATGGAAGAAAAATGGGTGATAAAAAAGACATGTTCTATGAGGCACTAGACCGGAAGTACGATGAGTGCTCAAAAAATGACATCAAAACAATAGTAGAAGACTTTAATGCCAAAGTCGGAAGAAAGAATGCATTTTCGCCCACCATCGGAAAAGAGATTCTACACGTAGACTCTAATGATAACGGTCTTAGAATCATAAATTTTGCGATGTCTAAGAACATGGTAATAGCTGGGATGCGATTTCCCCATAAAGATATTCATAAGGGAACTTAGAAATCTGATAGTGAAACGATTAACCAAATACAGAATTTCCCAATAGGGACGTCCTGTTTTTGAAATGTCATAGCTGCCATTTTAAAAATGGTAGAAGTGTCACTTGTTGACGTTTGTATTTAGTATACTCTAACAAATTACCATGGAAATTAACAAGATATACGCTTGAACAACATTTGGAAATTATCCTAAAATTTTATGCTAATAATCGTTCTTTTGTGAATACCTATCGTGCATTACGTGAAAGTTATGGACCAAATCATCGTCCTGATGTGTGTGTAATTCGTCGAGTCGTGGAAAAGTTTGAACCTGAATTTACTTTGCAGGATACGAAACCACCAACTAGACGCCGAAATGCAAGAACTCAGGACAATATTGCTGCTGTAAGAGCCAGTGTAGCGGAGAATGCAAATGTGTCCGTAAATCGTCGTTCTCAGGAACTTGGACTCACCAGAAAGACAACTTGGCGAATTCTGAGAAAAGATTTAGGCCTACACCATTAGAAGATTGTTCTGACTCAAGAACTGAAGCCACTTGACCATCATAAGCGTCGTTTGTTTGCTGATTGGGATCTAGACAAACTCGAAAATGATGGCATTTTTTCAAAAAAATAATCTTTTTCGATAAAGCTCATTTTTGGTTAAACGGCTTTATGAATAAGCAAAATTGTCGTTTTTGGAGTGAAAATAATCCACATGAGATTCTTGAGAAATCTTGGCATCCAGAAAAAGTCACTGTCTGGTGTGGTTTATGGCATGGTGGCATACGTAAAATAAAATCTTAACTGTCATTACCTTTTATTCCGGTATAATCTTTATGAATGTTAGAAACCAATTCGCTAAGGATTTTTGCTTTTGCTAAGGAGATATGTCGTGGAATGCAAATTTTAGATTCTCATTTCTCTAATAACATATTTATCAAGCGTCTGTTTTGCCTTGCAATTCTTAGAAGGCACAGATTAAACAAAAAATCTGAATTTGGTTTCTAAAATTAGTTTACGGATTTATCATTAGTAATTATTTAAACCACTTGTAGAACCAGAAGTGATTCTGATAACAGGTCTTTCGGTCGATAGTTAACCTTAGAAACAGTATGCTTTTGACATATAAAATAAAAATAACTCACTGTTTTATCCAATATAAGCACAGTTTGTTACCAAGTTCAGGACCGAAATATCTTTCCTAAACGGATAATACGGTTTCTTAGAAACTTATGCTATGGTTTGTTAGAACAGTGAGCGATGCATAACTCACAGTCAGTCGAACGACGCGCACGTTCGCCAAAATCAAAGGAATGGTTCTCTATGATAACGGTTTGTTATTTTCTGCTGAGCTGAGCGCACTGCAGAGTGTGCGGGGCGATAGCCGTTACGTCGACGGTGTGTCGCTGGAATCAACTGTGATTTGATTTGGACGCAAACGTTCAGCTGAACTCACAGCGTACACATCTATACTGAAATATAATTGTATTTTTATATAGTTATTATTATTGTAATCGTTATATTTGTGTATAATTAATAGTAATAATTAGGTGATGTCTTCTTTTGTAGGGATTTTTTTTAGTAATATCATCCCTTATAATTTGTAAGAGTTTCAATTAAATCCCTGGAAAGCCTAAAATATTCCCAAAATTTTTCCTCGTTTTCAAATAATCTTCTTTCGACAAGCACCTTCTGTATTACGACATGAAATAATTTCGTTTACATTTTTATTTCTTTTATTTAGATTTGACATTATCAACTCTTGTTCTTTCTTCTCTTCTTGAAGAATTAACATATTGCGTTTTGTGCACGCAAATTGCATTTGCGTAACAAGTTTGCGAGAAGTCATTTTTCTAAACGTATAACCTTTAAGAGGAACAAACTTGGAACTAATTTTTAAACTTCAGCGCAACAGAATCTATGTATGCCATATGACTCTAACAAACCTACTCACCCAAAACTGCCGTGAGTCGAGTACAACAGATTCTGCTGTACGTGTATGTCGTGCGCTGCGCACTGTTCTAACAAATCATAGCTTTAGACTGAATATAAATGTAGATTATACATACAATATCTTACAGGTCCAACAACTGTAGAGGGTCTCTGCCTTATCCAACAATAAGGTAGAGAAGGACAAATATAAAATAACAAATATTGTCGAAGACTTCTACACATCCTTGTACAGCTCGCAAGGCCAGCCTAATGAGACAACAAAGGAGAACGTCAAAAGAAAAATAGAAAACGTGGGATCAGAAGTACTACCAAATATAAAGGGATATGAAATAGAAAGAGCTTTAAAAGAACTAAAAAATAATAAAGCTCCAGTACACGACGGTATAATTGCCGAACTCTTGAAAACAAGCAAGACATTAACAATCCCTGTACTAATGGAGCTATTTAATAAATGTCTCCATAATAGCCAGATCCCTAAAGACTGGAATGAGAGTCTAGTAATACTCTTACACAAAAAAGGGGACAAATGTGATCTACAGAATTATATACCTATATCGTTGCTCAGTCAAGTATACAAACTATTTATGAGAATTATTAATAACCGGTTAACCTATAAAATGGATAATTACCATCCGGTTGAACAGGCTGGCTTCAGCAAAGGATATAGTACATCAGACCATCTGCTGACAATGAGAACATTGATAGAGAAAGCAAATGAATACCAACTACCCGTATTTCTTGCCTTCGTCGACTATGAAAAGGCGTTTGATTGTATCGAGATGTGGGCTATAGAACAAGCTATTAATAATTGTAGAAACGATTCGAGATATAGGCAACTAATACATAATATATATGAAAATGCAACTATGATAGTACAACTAGACGAAAATACAAATCCCATCCCCATTAAGAGAGGAGTGAGAGAAGGAGACGTAATGTCGCCAAAGCTTTTTAACCTATCCCTAGAAGACGTCTTTAAAACTACAAATTGGTCAAACTATGGCATGAACGTTAATGGCAACAAGTTAAACCACCTCAGATTCGCTGACGACATAGTGATTATAGCGAGCACATTCGAGGAACTGCAAATTATGTTGGGGAAACTAGCAGCCAGCTCCCAATACGTCGGCCTAAAAATGAATATGAAAAAAAAAAACAAAAATAATAACAAACACAGATGACCCTAGACATATAACTATAAACTGCAGTGAGATAGAACAAATCCAGGAATATATCTACCTAGGCCAAATCCTGAGACTTGACAAAGAGAACCAAAGTGCGGAAATTACTAGAAGAGCAAGACTAGCATGGGTAGGATTTTGAAAACTTAGTTGGATACTTAAGAACCGCAAAATACCCCAATACTTAAGAAGCAAAGTGTTCAACCAATGCATCCTTCCTATCATGACATATGGATGTCAAACCTAGACCCTAACCAAGGCAAACATAAATAAACTAGCCACAACAAAAAGAACAATGAAAAGAGCAATGTTAGGTATACGACTGTCAGATAAAAAGAGTAACGACTGGGTAAGATCCAAAACAAAAGTCGAGGACATAACAACAAAAATTGCCAAATTTAAATGGAGCTTTGCGGGCCACACTACTAGACAGAAAGACCAACGTTGGAATACTACAATACAACATTGGAGACCTTACAAAAGTAAACGACCAAGAGGAAGACCACAGATGAAATGGGTTGACGACATTAAAAGAATAGCAGGAACAAATTGGAAATATGTTGCTCAGGATAGAGACTTATGGAAGAAGTTGGGAGAGACCTATGTCCAAACATGGACGACAGAAGGCTAAGAAGAAGAAGAGGAAGATCTTACAGGTCATAGTGTGGAGAGGTCTACGAGGCCAATCTACTACTTTAAAATCTACAATCTTCAATGTAATCTGATTAAAAATCTCAAATTTAGTAAAAACATAAACCTAGTCATTGCTGTTTCTCACCTTATGTGTGTCCTTTTGCTTGCCGTTATGCGTGTGATGTGCAAGACTTGAAGGAAATTTGGTATACGATGTCTCAAACCGATCATCGGCTGTCTTATGAAAAATCCCATGTTTAGATGTATCTAGAAGAGATTCATTCTCAACGAAGGATACTTGTTGTGATTCAGCATCTCTTGCTCCTATGAAAAGGATTTAAATATATTTAGTTATTAAACTCTTTGTATATATACAATGAAATGACAAAAGAAACATTAAATAAAGCGATTATAGAAGGAAGGTTATCAGCGACATTCAGGGTAAGGAAGGGACTAAGACAAGGAGATCCACTATCCACAACTTTATTTAACCTTATTATATAACAATAAAATATATATAATATAAGAAATAACCTTATACCAGATGGTATAATATACTACAAGAAATAACAATTTATCGCGGTATATTACTGTGAAAGCCCAAAATCCAGTGAATGTGGAGATACACCGGTAAATGTCAACATTCACCAAGTTGTTTGGCGCATGTTCCAATTATTGATTAAATATCATATTTTCTAACATTTACCGATTAATGTCGTCATTCATCATACAATTTTGGTGTATGATACTAAAATGATACTCTAATAAATTATGTTTTTTACCAAGTAAAAATAGTTGAGCATGTTTTTTATTTGGAAAATTTGTTTTAATAAACATAAAAAACATTATTAGGTATATTGATTATTATTTTTAGCAGAATTCAGTTCCAACACTCTTTTAGAGTATCTTTCTGGAGAAAAATAGCAGCCATTCTCGTTTACTTTAAATTAGGGCAAGTAATTTTTTATAAAAACTGATCACGATTTACTGCAGTAGCCATTGATCACAAATAATATATTTTACTTAATTAGTAGACCCATTTGTACCTTTCGGTGTTGGGCCGTTGATAATACAATTCATTAAATTACAATATTTTATAATCTTCTGAAGTGTCCTAGCTCTTAATGAAATTTCTCCATTCCTTCCTATTGGATGCCATCTGTGTTGCTTCCTGCCAAGTCTTACCCTTACTCTGCAGTATCTTCAAAATTTCACTGTTCCATTATTTAATGGGTCTTCCTCTTCGGTTCTTCCCTATTAATTTTTCTTCTTGATTGAGTCGAGTATCGGTTTGATTTTAAATCTTTCTCTTATTTCTTCATTTCTGATTCTATCGGTTCTCTGCTTCCTGAATTCTGCTCTAATTTTTTTTGTTTAATATCCAATTTTCTGCTCCATATGTCGCTATAGGTCTATATATTGTGTTGTATATTGTTATCTTGGTCTTTGTTGATATTTCTTTGTTATTAAGGAACCCTCTACTTAGTTCTTGGAATAGTTTTCCTGTATTTTCCATTCTGTTGTTAAAATCGTCCTCGATGTCTCCTTTGTTGTTTATTACTATTCCTAAGTATTTGTATGAATTTGTCTGTACTATTTTTTGTTAGTCTATTATTACTTCTATTTGATCTTCCGTCCCTTGTTTCCTTGGTATTTTCATTATCTGAGTCTTCTTTTTGTTTACGTTTATGTTGTATTTGCTTGCTTGTAGGTTACATTTGTCTGAGTTGTATTTCAGTTTTTCTGCAATTTCCGCAATTATCACTATGTCGTCTGCAAATATACATAGCTCAGAGTTTATAATTTGCATTCTGTTCCAACTGATGCAGTATTTCTTAAATGTTTTCTTACATTCTTTCACTATCTCATTTATTACATTTATTTATAGCACTGGGCTGAGACTTTCCCCTTGTTTAACTCCTTGAGTTGTTTCAAATGGTTCTGACTGTATCTTTAACATTTTTACTGTATTTGTTGTTTTCATGTATATACTCTTTGTTGCTTCTATCAGTTCTTCACTTACTTGCTTTTTCTTTAGGCTTTCCCATATATCTTTTCTTTTGACTAAGTCAAATGCTTTTTTCATGTCTATAAAGCTCAGATATATTTCTTTATTTTTCTTTAAGGCTTTTTCTATTACTTGTTGCATGGCGAATATATGGTCTTGTGTATTGTGTCGTTTCCTAAATCCACTTTGTACGTCTTTTAATTTATGTTCTATTTCTTTTCTGATTTTCTTTTCTATTATGGTTTCGTATACTTTTGTTGCTACACATAGTAGTGATATACCTCTATAGTTCTTAAAGTCTCTTCTGTTTCCTTTCTTGTATATAGGTATAACTACTGCATTTGTCCATTCTTTGGGTATTACTTTTCTCTTCCATATTAGGTTATATATGTATAACAATTTTTCTTTTGCTTTTACTTCTATATATTTCATCATTTCTGATGCTACTTCATCGCTTCCTGGTGCTTTTTCAATCTTTATCTTTCTTATTGCTTCTTCCAGTTCTTCTTTTTCTATAGTTTCTGGATTTTTCGTGTTTCTCATGGATATTCTGTTGATGTGGCTTTCCTTCTCCATTGTATTCGCTTGATTTCCATTCAGTATCAGCTGAAAATGTTCCCTCCATATTTCCATTATTGTCTTATCGTCGTTTATTATTGTTCCTTTCTTGGCCATTATTTGTTTCATTTTCGTTTCTTTGTTGCTTTTTAAGTTTTTCAGAGTTCTATAATAGTATAATACATAACGAGAGTTGTAAGAAGCTTATTACATGCGAAGAAAAACTTTGCGCGGGAGCCGCGTAGCGGCGAGCGCAGTAATTTTACAAGCAAGTAATAAGCTTACAACTCAAGTTGTGTACTATACTTTTTCTACGATTATTTTCGTTTATAAAAATAAAAATTAAATTTCCACTATATTTACACTGACAGACTAATAATTTTTAATCTGTCAAAATAACGTCTGTTAATTCGTTTTCATGGTAACTCGACCAACTGACTTACGAGGCTTATGTGATATTACACATTTTTATAAAACTGAAGCGTAATTTTTTTTTATTACGTGCTAGTCATTACGTGTCAGTATCTGTTATGATGCATTTACTTAGCATCCAAATAGTAGGTAATATACAATTTACTAGTAAGAGAGTAGAAAAAATAATTTTTTATTAATTCTTCAGGAATAACGTTGTACAGGCACGTACAGGTTAGTATACAAATATGTAAACAAAGTAATGGCCCGTACTTCAGAGAAAAAATTAATAGTATTTGACTGTATTAATTTATAGTTATGTATATTATATCGTGTTTTTAGTGTTTACCGCGGGATAAATAAATCATAGTTTATTAAAAATGTATTGCACTTTTTTAGATTATGATTAAATCTTCTAAATAACTAGTCATATTTTTATAGTAGTTTTAATATTATTGAGTCCGGCCATGATCCCACCGCCATATTGGTATTATCGGTAGCCACACCTACCTACGCCGTTTTTAATACACACGTTAATATGCTCATAGCTTCTCCATAGATTCTAACTCGATGTTAATACTCTACCAAGATCTGTCACATTATAGTATAAATCTACCTGTTAACTTCTATATGGTACAAGTCACAACTTTTTAAAAAATCACGGTTGCCTAATCAAAACCACTAAAACTGATTTTTCTCGCAAACTAGTTAGCAGATACGTTCTTTTGAGTTAACACGGAATGAACATTATATATTTAATAATAAAAAAAAATGGTCTACAATTGTAGACCATGTAATCAAACGTGTATTAGTTTACCACGTACCTAACGAAGGGCTAAATTATAAATAAAGTCGGTTGAAAAAAGATATTTTTAATATTAAAACCTGTACAATTCAATTTTATAATTGAGAGATCCTTTTAAATCTTTCAAATATTATCTTCTTTATACAAGTCGCAATTACTTAAAAAATAATAATATAAATAAAATTTTAATATATTTCTTTCCGACTAAATCCTGTAGCGATATCAAGAGCGGAGCAATAGTATGTATGCACCCTTATAGATACTTACTTCTTTGAGAACACAATACTCGAGTCCTCGACGAGATCTGACAACAGTTACAATCTGCACCCACGTGATGTTCGGAATATTTGCTCAAACCCTGAATAGAAGCAATCTTCGGATCTATTATTGACACGGTCGGCTTTGATATCCTCATGTCTGATAAAATTTGATCCAAATTACCGTTTACTCCCCTATCTGTTTTATGAACACTTCTTATAGATTTGACCTCTTCGGGGTTACATACACATACGCATCCACAGGTAGTGTCCGAAACAGGTACAGGTAAGTAACCACTTGTGCCTTCTGACCTATACATCATTACACCATTGGCAGCACTTGGAACTGTTTGCACTCCGTGTTGCCTTGAAGGAGCTCTTTGATCTAACATGGAGCCTTCTATTTCTAGCTGGGACACCGATTCTCTTAATGACTCTTCTATGGCTTCTCTCACAAATCTTTTTATTGCTTTTTGTAAACATTTGGTGTTAAAACATTTACATTTTAAGTTTTCATAAACTTTTGATCTACGTCCTGCAACAAGTTCCGAAGAGGAATAGAACGATGTTGACTTGTTGTCCATTGCACTAACGGATGCCTGTGATGCCATTTTAAATCTTTGTGCACATATGTTTGCTCTAGCTTTACAATATTTGCTAGTTTGTGGTTTGTAATACGGTTTGGATTCACTGGGGTAAATATAACCACTTGGCATATTTCTCACTGAAGATGTTGATTGTGGTGCGAAATGGGAGGACATTTTTACTGGATCTCGTGAATAACTTGGGGTAAATGAATCATCCGATCCAATAAAACTAGTAGATACATCTCTTACTACAGATCTTGATCTTTGTGGAAATTGGGATGACTTTCTTACTGGATCTCGTGAACGACTTAGCATGGACGATTTATCAGGGTCAATATAACTAGTGGATATATTCCGTACTGCAGATTTTGATAGTGCCGGAAATTGGGATGACCGTCTTATCGGATCTCGTGAACGAATTCTTGATAATTTACTTCTTCCACCTAGTGACACTGATTTCTTTGACATTGAGTCTGTATTAGTACCGTTACTTACCATGGATTTTTCAGGTAACCACACATGGCTTTTTATTTCGCTTCTATCACTTGGAATTTCTAACTCTCTAAGAGATCTGTCGACTACTTTCCTTTGGCTTCCTTTATCGGGTGCTCTAGTTTGCCCCTTTGGTTGTGTATAGTATTCAACACATGTGGTAAAGTAGGTTTCGCTAGTTTGTACTGATGCATTTATTTTAAATCCTACTACTAGCGGTTGAGAACCCATGCGATAGAAGTCCTTTTGGTTGCGCCGTTTAAATTTGCTACAGTTACTACCATTCTTTATACTACTGCTCGGATATGGTCCAAGAGAAGACAGATTTGTGCTTCTTGCAGTTAAATTATCACTGCTATATTCCATCTCTTCTTGCGGAATAATTTGTGATCTAGAATATTCACTACGTCCATTGTCATCAAAAAATTTAGAGGATGCATAAGGGGCAACACTACCATTAACCGGTAATTGTGAAGGTACTTGTATTCTTTCTTCTGAGCAGAGACAATATTCTAATGAACTAATAGCTCCCCTTCTATATCTACTAGAATCTCTTACTGGTTCTTCGTCTTCATAATTATTAAACGTTCTGTTAGATCTCGAATATCCGTTTCTACTTAAATTTCCTGATCTGTCTCGGTACATTTTTTAATTTTCTGAAAAAGCTTTTTGAAACGGATTTGTTTACCCGCAAATCTTTGAAATAGTGTGGTTAAGGTTTGATTAGTAATACAATGATAAATTTTGTACATTTTAAAATAATAAAAAGTATGATAAATTGAAAATTAAACTTAATGTTATCATTGACAATGTCATATTATTTAGACCCTTCTTCTTTTTTCTCGTTTGGTAATCGTAGCTACCAGGGCTATCCAGCCAATATTGGTTACTCAGGAGTCATACCAAAATTAGTTCTAAGACTGGTCTGTAATTTCCAACCTGCAACAGTGATTTTATGATATCAATCAACTATACGGGTTTAAAATAGAGTCCGAGAATTATTCTTTGTTGGTAAGATAACACCTTTTCGGCTTTTAAAACCCACTTTGTCTGAACTTTAATAGTTTTTCATTCCCAGTGAACAAAAAAAAATTAGTGTGTTTGAATTTATTTTACCCCCATTGGAGATTACTGTTTAGGTACGATAATTTGCAGTGGCAAAGTGTTACATTATTAAAAACTTAATATTGACCATGCGGGGAGACCTCTAAATGAACCTCCAGATATTAGCTGTATGGACGAAGAAGTTAATATAATTAATATCGCATATATTAATTAAATTAACTTTTTGGTAATTCCAAAAATAACGGAGAAACAAAAAGTTAAGAGAACTTTTTCTATATCAGAGCAGTAATACAGGTCCTTTTTATGTGTATATAGAAAATAATACTCCTGATTTTAAAAGTAAGCTTAATGCCATCAAAATCGGCGATATGATACTTTCAAATCTTTTGAATTTAGATAACAAAATTACTAGTATTGATTCAATGGGCAAACATAGAATCAGACAATTTTTTAATCAATCAAAGAACTTGCTTATTGTCTACAAACAACAATTTTGATGTTTACGTTCCGAAATTTATACTCCATAGAAGGGTATAATTAGAGACATAAATACTGGATTTTCTGGGAATATGAGGATTATGAATAAAAATGGGAATTTAGTTTATCAGTTTGACTGCGTTACCGGTCCCCTGGGACCGGTGTTCGTTATTATTAAAGCGCGGCGTGTGAAAACTGCCAACTTTTAAAAATTGCGAAAGGCATATCTTCGTTAATATTCGTTTGTTTTATATGCTAAAAACAGCATTATACTTGTCTTAAGATTCTAAACATTTCTAAAAAAATGTACTGGGCTTTGGGGGCCGGTAACACACAGAAATTACAATTTGTTACTCTAGTGCGAGACCAGTCCTGCGGGACCGGTGCATATTTATATATCTGCATGCTTGCGCAGTCAATCGACATTTAGTATCGTTTGTATTTCAATAGTAGGTGTGTTTACGTCCGTGTTTTAGGTGGTTTTACTAGTCTAAAAATGTCATCTCGCGTTAAAAAGATTTTGTTTTTAGTTCAAACAGCTGATACAAACAAAAACCAAAACTGTAGAGTGTAACGAACCTAGTACTTCAGTTGAAAATAAAAAATTTGAGGAAGATAACCCAAGTATTGTAAATTCGCGCCAAAGTCCAACTGATTTAAGAGACCATGTGCTTGCAGAGTTGCCAAATAGTGACAGAGAAAATGAATGGGACGATCCTTTTGATTCGAACGATTCTGTAATCGACAAAAACTATGTTATTTCTTAAGATGAATCGTACAGTGATGTAAGTAAGAGTGATTTATTTGACGATGATAATGAGACAGAAATTGATAACGAAAAAATGTCAGAATCTGAAAATGATAATGAAAACGAGTGGCATGATATAGGTGAGAGCGACAATGAATCTGGTGAGTTGAATCAATATCAAGATGTGCCTATATTAAATTTTAACAGGAACGAAATAAAAAATCCTGTAGACGCTTACAAGTTATTTGTAACCGATGATCTTTTACAGAATATTGTCACTGAAACAAAGAGATTTGCTCGGAAAATGTTGTTAAATATACATCGATCAAAATCGCGTATACATTACTGGGTTGACTGTGATATATCCGAACTGAAACGTTTTTTTCAATATGTATAGTTATGGGATTAGTTAATGGTCCCGAAATAAATTTATATTGCTCGAAAGATCCCATGTTCAGAAATGAGTTTATTACGACTACTATGAGACGAGACAGGTTCCTTTTACTGATGCGTCGCACTCATTTTTGTAATAATCAGCAGTGTAATAGAGATGATCGGCTCTTTAAGTTAGGGAAAATTTTAAAGGTACTGAATAAAAATTTTCAAGCTGCATTAACTCTAGGACGGATTTTGGTAGTCGATGAAAGTATAGTACCTTATCAAGGAAGACTGCAAATAAAGCAATATCTGCCAAATAAAACACACCCGTATGGAATTAAATTGTATAAGTTATGTATAGTGGATGGTTATACTAATAACCTAATCAAAAAAGAGGTTAGTATTGGTAAATGGGTATATTTATTTAAAAAACCCTTAAAAGGGCTTCATCAATAAAACAAACGTTTTCGGACCACACAGTCCATCATCAGGTTTTAAAATCGAAAAATGCCTAAAAATAAGTATAAACCATTTAGTTAAAACAAACGTGATTATGAAATTTTGACTATGGTTGAAAAGCAAAAGATGGTTATACTTACTAGGTCACAATGCCTGAGCCACCAAAATACTAGGGCAAAAACCCTTTAAACTACATTTAGTTATAAAAGATTATACATTGTGTTGTAAAATAACTGTGATGTTCAGTATTAAATTAAATTTGGCTAGAGGTAACACATGGCTGAAGCGAGTTTCAGAGCCGGTGAGAGAGAACCTCTACACGCGGAGAACAGCTGGGAACTGATTGACAAGATACTTATGAACGATGTCGAAAACAAAATGTCAATGTAACAAAAACTATATTAGTTGTACATAGTATTACTACAGCCAAAAGATTCAACAAGTTTTGATGATTTTAAAAAAATAACAGCAATCTAGGTGTTGGGATTTAAAAAACTTTTTTATTTATTAATTTAGGGTATAAAAGATCTGAAATCAATGATGGTTTTATAGTCATGATTAATAGAATGACCTGTGTCTTAGGCAACTTATGTTGCTTTTTGTCATATGGAATGTGGTCTAGAAGTGT